AAAAAAAAAAAAAAAAAACAGATGATTCCCAAACTACTCCGACTCCACCCCAAAACCCCGAATGCGTCCTTACGCTGCATGTAGATCTGCATAGTTTTTGGGCATACATACAGACTCATCCTAACTCCGAGCACCAAGCTCGGCCCTCGCAAAGTGCAGAGCATCCCTAAAATAAAATGCCCCTTGGGAATTAGGCGAGATGTGCAAGAAGCTCGAGGAGGAGACCGAGATCGCCAGCTGGACAGAGAACGGTGGCCGTCCGAGTCCGTGATGGTTTCGGGTTTTGGGCGTGTGATGGTTTAGGGTGTAGGGTTCAGTGTTCAGGGTGTGGGGTTTAGAGTCCAGGGTGTAGGGTTTAGGGTTTNNTAGGGTTTATAGGGTTTTCATAGGGTCTGGTTTTAGCAGGAACCCATGGCTGGCAGAAGGGTTTTGCACTTTCTGAATGTCGCCGAGAGATCTGCATGTTGCCGGAATCGATCACTTGCGCTGAGAAGCTGAGAAACCAAGTACGTAGTCAAAGACAGGAGAATGCAGGGAGTTTGTGCTGCAACCCTAAACCCTAAACCNNCCGATAAACCCTACCTATAGTCTCCATGGTAGTTCCTTTTTTGGTTTAACCAATTATAGAATAAGGATTTTATAAGGTATCCCCAAAAAGGAACTACAATGGAGACTATAGGTAAGTCTAGAGCCGGAAGCTCTCATGATGTCGGGGTTTAATTGCGGCTTTCGGCCGCTCGGGCGCACTCGACCCAACCCCTTCCTGCGATGTTTGGGCGCAAGGCTCTGGGTCCCCCAGCCCGTCTCCCTGTATGACAAGGAACGTCAGGATAGGCTATTAGGGATAGGGAACATGCTAATAATCTTGAGTATGAGAACAACGAGAACAGTGTTGCGAGCAGCATTTTGAATACTAGTCCAAAAGCTCATCGTGCAAATACTCCAGAATGCAGGTGGCCTCTTCGTGGGGACGAATGCTGAGCGGCTTGCCGAATACAAGCGCTTCGCCGAGACTGGCCGCTTGTTGTCACAGCAAGACGGTCAACACTATACGAAACGAGCCATCGCAATAGTTGAAACAGGAGTAGCACTTGCGGTAAGCCGCAGTTGCACGAGAAATGTTCTAGACGAGGTGCCGGTGGGTTTTGTAAGGGTCTTTGCTTTGTAGAGCTTTGGAAAAGGAATCGTTAGTAATGTTTTTTTGTGGCTGCTTCGTTGTTTTCATTGGTTGAGATCTTCGGTTCGTTATCATTCGATTGCTGTTTTGAGTGGGTCGTCTCTAGGGCATGTCGGGATCCCGAGACTTTGGATGCAGGCTGGGCGAGGCTTGCTTTCTGTTCAGCTTTGTCGGCCATGTATTAGCTTGTATGCTGGGCCAGGCTGACGTTCTAGTTAGAAGATGAATGCTCTTCTCTTCTGTATCTGTTCTCAGCGCGCCTAAGCCTAACCAGAATGCCGAACCAGTCCAGAAACCGCCCAGCAACCAAGGCAAGTATTTCGGCATTGAGAGCCACGTCCTATCACCCTCGGAGGTGAAGGATGTACATCCGCTCCTGCGGGTTGACGACATCTATGGGGGTGTGTACTCCCCAGGTGATGGTACCATTGATCCGACCAGCATTTGCAACGCTTACGCGAAGGCCTCCCGAAGGTTTGGCGGTGGAGTGTACGAGAATGTCGGTGTCAGCGGTATAGAGGTCGAGGACTACCTCACAGCTGGGTCCGCGCCTGCAAGGCGAATCAAAGCAGTTCCCGGGATTTCCATTTTATGGGAATCTTATGATTTACTGTAGATTCCTATGATATGGTAATTCAACTTAAGGCCTCGGAATAATGTCCACACCCTAAACCCTATATAAACCCTAAACCCTATCAGCCCTAAACCCGGAGCCCTGAAAGCCCTAAACCCGGAACCTTAATAACCCTGAGCCCAGGTTCTGACGGCCTGCGGCAAGCGGATCGAGACCCCCACGGTTGTCAACGCCTGCGGCGCATGGGCTAACGAGATCGCAGCCCTGGTAGGCCAGTGCATCTGGGGGACCCCTAATACGTAGAATTTAGGGACTATCCCTAAAAGGTCTATAGACCTTTTAGGGAGTACGGTTCAGAGTTTAGGGATTAGGAATAACTCCCAATGTAAACAGAAACGTAGATTCGTATCGGGTGCAGATGTAGTATGGTAGAATGACGAGATTGGTGTTGCCGTTCGAAGTCGAGAAGAATGCTACGGATCCTGTGAGGTGTGCAGATACCTTTAAAGGCCATGAAGCACGCCATGGTCCTCACCGAGCCCATTGCCGGCATGCACAGCGGTTTGCCCAATGTGCGTGACCACGACCTTAGCGTCTACTTGAAGACGCAAGGCGACTCCATGGCGATCGGCGGCTATGAACAGAACCCTGAATTCTGGCCAGATGTCGATCCTGGCTTTTCTTTTGGGCTTTTCGAGCTCGATTACGACACTTTTGGGCAGAATCTGGCCGGGCACATGCAGCGATGCCCAGTGATCGAGGAGACTGGGATCAAGTCGACCGTTTGTGGGCCGGAGTCTTTCACGCCGGATCACAAGCCTCTCATGGGCCCTCATCCTGGTGTCCGCGGCTTTTACCACGCTTGTGGATTCAACTCCATGGGCATGATGCTGGGTGGAGGCTCTGCCTCTGGTAGAGTAGTAGAGTGGGGGAGTTGGGATCCCTTAAGCAGCACGCCTGCAGCCCAACCTGTGCTCTAGTTGCTCTAGTTGAGCCCCATGTATCTAATTAAACTTACCAGACCTCTGCGTTCAGGCGTGGGCCGCGAGTTGACGAAGTGGATCCTAACCGGATCCCCCGAGGTTGATCTCTTCAGCTTCGACTGCGCGCGCTTCCACCCCGAGAGCGTGTCGGACAGCCGTTGGGTCCGAGATCGCACCCACGAGAGCTACGCGAAGACGTATGCAACTAGGTGGCAATTTGGGAAACTTTCAAATTTCCCTTATGGTTTCTATAGAGGTACCTAGTCATAAATACTTTGCAGGGCCCCAAAACTACAACCCAGGCCATCGTCTTCCCTCATGATGAGTCCTTGGCAGGTGGGGGCCTCGGAATGGGGTCCTTCCAATCAACTAAGAGGCTTCTCTGCATGTTCATGTGCTTGTATGTGTGTGTGTATATATATATATGTATATATATATATATATGTACGTATACATGTGTGTGTGTGTGAACATATACATGCAAAAATAGTCATCGCATATATGTATACATAATATGTATTTTTAGTTTTGTATATATATATATATATGTATTATGTAAACATATATATATATATGTTTATGCATTACTGCTGGTCGTCTAGATACGCTTGTTTGGGTGCATGCACAGTCATGTATATTTCGTGTGAGTGTGTGCGTGTGTATGTATGTAGATATATGCATGCATGCATTTATGCATGTATGCATGCATGCATGTATGTATGTGTGCATGTATGCATGTATGCATGTATGCATGCATGCATGCATGCATGCATGTATGTATGTATGTATGTATGTACAGACCTAACTGCAGAGTTGACTGTGCAGTTATGCACATACTTGTTTGTATGTGTATGCACATATACAACAGCATGTTAAGTGATGGTCGTGCGGGTTGGTCGTCGGCGTCCTCGCCTCAGTGTTACTGATACTCCAACTGCCGCTGCCACTGCCGCTGTAGCTGCTACTGCTACTGCTACTGCTACTGCTACTGCTACAGCTACAGCTACAGCTACTGCTCCTACTCCTACTCCTACTCCTACTCCTACTCCTACTCCTACTCCTGCTCCTGCCCCTGCTCCTGCTC